CAAAACTAGGAATGGTGCAGTGCCCAAACTAGGAGTAGAGAACAGTGGGGGAGATGGAAGGGTGAATGAGGTTGGGGGAGTCAAGGCGCGGAGGGCTCTGCGATAGACTTGGCCCAAGTGGCCTGAGGATAGGAGAGCAGGTTAGGAGAGTTAGCCGGTGGTGCAGGTTCTGGGAAGCAGAGAGAGGTGAGGGTGGTGCCAGGTCCAGACGCAGTGCTCTTGGAGCCCAAGGAAGGCACTAAGTTGGTCTAGGTGAAAAGGATCAGGAAGCAGTATTGGTTCCCCAGGTGTCTGGGGCCCCAAGACTAGGAATGGCACAGGGTCCAAGCTAGAGTATAGAATGCCAGGCGGGGGGGCAGGGGGGTGGGGGGTGGGGTGGAAGGGTGAATGAGGCTTAGGGAGTCCCGGCGCCGAGAGCTGCGCTGTAGACTTACCCCAAGAGGCCTGAGGATAGTAGTCGAGGAAGTAACTTTTATACTTATGCTTCACTTTGGGCAGAGAGCTGTTATATGCAGATCAAGAAATGCTGCTGCATGCTTTGGTTACCAAATTAAGTACTATTTCTCCAATTGATTATTTCTGATGTTTCAAGATAAAATTTGAAAGCATGAAAAAAGTGGAGATATTTTTCTCTGTCACATGAAATGGATAACCCCAGAGACACCTCTCCACTCTCAGAGAAAGGGCGTCACTGTTCTTGTTATTAGGAGTCCTGCACTTCACTGGAAATGTTAGAATGTATTTCAACCTGTCAACAACTCACTAACAACAGATATACCTAGTCTACCTCCCTAATAGCCCTCAGAATAAGGATCCCTCATCTTCCTCCACACCTTCAATTCCTATGCTCATCACTTAGTGCTCTGGTGAATGCAGTCGCTTGTGTTTTACCCATGTTAGGGTGCTCCTTGTATACTTTAATAATAAACCAGTACTTCTGCAGTCTCTGTTCAGTGTGGCACTCTGTACAGTGATTCCAATTCAGGGTCCTTTCTTCCTATGATGCTGCCAACCTATCAAGGAATCAGGCTAATTTTTCTTGTGAAGGGTTGAATGGTAAATACATTAGGATTTGGGGGCTATACAGTCTAAGTTGTGGCTACTCATATGTGTTCTTATAGCACAAGAGCAACCATATTTGTACCTGAATGAGTGTGACTCTATTTCAATAAAACTTTATTCGTAAATATAAAAAATTATATTTCATGTAAATTTTACCTACCTATGAAATATTGTACTTCTCTTGATTTTTCTCCCAAAATTAGGAAATTTAAAATCAATTCTTCATTTAAGGGATATATAGACAGAGGTGGTAAGCTAGGTTTGGCCTGCCAACCACAGTTTGATGATTCCTGAATTAGCATGAACAGAAAATCAGATTTGAAATACTGTGGTTTAGTGATTTCATCTACTTTGAGTTAAGTTGTTTTGTTTCATCAGCTGAGCATAAAACATAAAACATTTCCCTCTGCTTTGTTTTGGTTTTGCTGCAGGCTCTGGAAATATGGCCGTGTCACATCCCATCGCTGCCAGCACACCTGAAGGGAGCAATTATGGAGCAATAGGTATTTCCTACCATGAGTCCTTCGGTGGATCTCTTTCCTTTTTCACCAGAGATTAGTGTGCAAAGGACCCTCCAGCTGCTAGTCACTGGAGCATGGGCAAGCCAGCTCCTGGTGAAGCTGTTCTTTCATGTAGAAGATGAATTGGTGAGATAATCTGGAAAGTTCCTTCCAGCTCCACTTTCTACAGTTCTATTGTTCTGTTTCTTGGATCTGCTCACTACACTTGGGCAGAATCCCCACAGTAGTTACCAGCAACTTCCAAGACCCCCAGGGGGAATTTTTTATAATATATTTAAAATTACATTTAATTAATTTATTTGGGAGGAGGGCTTACAGGAGTCCCTTCTCTCCTTCCACTATGAGGATCCCAGGGATTAAACTCAGGTCAGCAGCCTTGGAAGTAAGCATCTTTACTCACTGAGTGATCTTGCTGGTCCCTTGGGGGCTTCAAAAATATTATTTATTTATTTATTTATTTATTTATTTAATTTGTGTGTGTGTGTGTGTCTCACCTGTGCTGAAGTTAGAGAATAACTCTCTAGGATTGGTTCTCTCCTGCCATTTTGTGGGACCCAGGGATTGAACTCAGATCTCAGGCCTACACACAAGTTTCTCTACCCTCTGAGCCATCTCACCAGCCCCATGAGGATGTTTTCATACCCAGCCTGAGTTTAGGGCTTGAAAGACATGTCACAGCCAGCCACCATCAATCGACCAGCTGTTTCATTCTCAGGTTTCAGTGGCTAAGGGCATCTAAAGAGTAAGGAGTGCTGCAGGTGAACACAGCTGTAGCTGAATAGGAGGGTGAAGTTCACAATGAGCCTGCACACTGCCACCCAGTCAGTCACTTGGAAACCCAGAGTTCATTTCCTCACCTAAAAGGAACAGAATTCCCCGATACCTGTCTTGTAGGGTAGGGCCACATTGGCCGCCAGCTCCTTCCAGGGCGCTGTGAATGAGGCTTCTTCAGATGTCCACAGAGGACTAGGAGTCCTGCTCTCCTGCTCTATAATTCTGTAACTTTGAGCATGTGGGCTCGGTGTAGGCTACTTATTTTTAGTTCTGTGAGAACAGGATTTTTTTTAACCATCTGAACCGAAGAAATAAAGTGGAAGGTAGGCTCAGCTCTTGTGCTCAAGCTGTACAGAACCCATCTGCTCCGGGAAGCATTCATGGGAACAGAAGAATCCCTCCCAAGAATATTGTTTTCATTATGTAATCATAGAAATGGCATGTGGGGGTTTTCTTGATATAAATACTTTATCTGTGAGAAACGTATAGCTGGTGGATATGTGCTTCCATATATGTGTGATAGATGCTGCAAATAACTGTGCATGTGTGCACTTACATATTTGTGTTCATGTTTTAAAATATGAAACATGAAAAATAAGCATAATGTTATTTTTGCATCCAGATATTAACAGAGCAGATACCCTTTTATTGCAACATGTATTTGGCCCTAAAAATTGACAAGTTAAACATAAAATAGGAAGTCCACTGAGAAGGCAGGAGAGAAAGAATGTGTCTTATGAGTAAAGAATTAGTTTGGACCAACATGGTATTTTCTGAAATGCGTCAGGAATGCGCTTTTTTTTTTTTTTTCAGAGAAATGGGCTCCACAGGCTGTTCTTGGTTTTTGTTTGTTGTTTGTTTGTTTGTTTGGTAGATTGGTGGGTTGGTTGGTTATTTGATTGGTTGGTTGGTTGGTTGGTTGGTTGGTTTTTTGAGACAGGGACCTACTGTATAGCCCCGGCTGACCTAAAACTCACTATGGAGACCAGATTGGTTTGGAACTCACTGTGCAGACCAGGATGGCCTCAAACTCACAGAGATCCACCTGCCTCTGCCTCTGGAGTGGTGGGATTAAAGGTGTGTGCCACCACACCCCGCTTTGCTCTTGGCTTTTAATGGCAGATGAGTTTTCTCTTTCAGATGAGTCAAGCTCCAGTCCTGGAAGGCAGATGTCTTCCTCTGATGGTGGGCAGCCATGCCACTCAGACACAGACAGCTCTGTGGAAGAGAGTGACTTCGACACCATGCCAGACATAGAGAGTGACAAAAATGTCATTCGGACCAAGGTACCAACCCTGCCAGGCCATAGTTTCTGAAAAGGAAAAGACTTCAGTAGTGGAATAAACTTGATCAATCCCTCAATTTTCTCAGTATTTTTCCTTCAGGGGAAGTCAAATTTCCCAGAGGGTTTAGAGAAAATGTAACTGAAGACTAAAGGCAATACTCTGTCCATTAGCACTTTTCTTCTTGTGGGGAAGAATGGAAGAGAACAAGGCATAAATACTCTCAGTACCTCGAGTGTTTATGAACATCAAAGGAGAAAGTATCCAACCAAATGGTAGAGCTTCACCTAAGGGCTTCTCTGGGAAACACCCTGTTTCTGTGCATAATATCCTTCAGGAGTAAAAACCATCTCTTTTTAGCATATATTTAACATATTGTGTTTTACCTGAGCGAAGATATGAATGTAAACCACAGTTTCAATCGTATGTAATTCAAGAACTACGAACTGGGCAGGTCTGAAAGCCAAGAAGTCAATATTTGAGATGTGTGAAGTGTTTAATACTCAATAGGCTTCCCACTTTAGCCAAATCTTTGGTATACCGGTACAAACAGTAGTGTTTTCATCACGGTATCCTGGGAAAAGCAAAGTTAACAGAAAAGTCTTGCTGAATAATTTTAATCTCTACTGAGGATTAAATTTAAAACTCTAAAGCTCTCCTTTGTATTTTATTCAAGAAAGGTCAATTACAGTTTTGCATTCTCTTTTTATTGGTATTTTAGATGTTCCTTTACCTGTCAGATCTATCTAGGAAAGACCGGAGAATTGTCAGCAAAAAATATAAGATTTATTTTTGGTAAGTAGATGACAAGTGGGACCACGGTTTCCTTAAAAGTATTGAACTACTTAAATTAATGTACGTACGTATGTATGTATGTATGCATGTATGTATGTATTGCAATGCTAGAGCTCAAACCCAGGACCACATACATGATAGGCAAGGCAAATACTCTACCACTGAGCTATATCTCAGCCCTTAGATTCTTTATATTTAATTTTTTCTTTGTAAAAGCTACAACCACTTACATCACAAGGGATTAGTGTTTAACAGGGCACAGATATCAATGATGATGCAACCAACTTGTAACAAAAAGGACATGTGATTGCCATACTCGTGGACCTACCCAGGAGGCTGAGCTGCCTACGGTCCCATCCACCCCGCTCCCCCCACTCTGAAACCTCCAGGCTAGCTGTGATCTTGTAGCATCATTTTTGCTTCTGAAGAATATATCTTCTTGGATGCATATATTAGAGGAAATCCAGAGACAGCAGGATCACATGGAATCCTATAGCTGGACCATCATTTTGGATCTAAGTGTTATTTAAGAGAGCTCCAGCCTCTGTATGTTGACCCCTCATCTGTTACTTGCACTCTGATGGTGTTTAATCAAACAGTATCCTAAAGGGATAATGTGGTTATGCAAAAAATAGATTTTACATTCTTTTACAAAGGGTTATACAAAGAAAAACACTATTTTTGTTGGGTGCCAATCATCTGTTTCAAGTATATCAATTCAGTTGGGTAAATTTAAGATCAACTTGGCCTACATAACAAGTTCCAGGCCAGTTAGGGCTGCATAAGGAGACTTTGTCTCAAATACAATAAACAAACAAATAAATAAATAAATACATAAATAAAAAAGTCAGTTAATAGTGCCAGGGTTCTCTGCCATAACAAAACCAATAGTAGTAACTAAGGCAAGTTGTATTTACTTCTCTCTCTCCCCCTTTGACCAAGATACTGTCTACCAAGTGTCCAAATGCAAAGAAAGGGAGAAGCAGACTGGAAAGACAGGAACTAAATCATCAACTTCTAGTTGCTTTTGCAAGCTAACTATGGATTTATGGGGTAGAAGTATTCTTTAAAACTGAGCGAGGATTCCACCATTATATTGGAAACTCCTATTTCCGGTTCTTTCTGCTATAGGAACATCATCACCATAGCTGTGTTTTATGCACTGCCTGTGATCCAGCTGGTCATCACCTACCAGACAGTAAGTACTGCTCCATCTAGAATCCCAGCTTCCATCCACAGAGCAAGTCTTTACTCTGACTTAAGGAGAAAAGTTTAGCTTGGGATCAGTTCAAATATTAATAAAAAAATAATTTATTTCCCATTTGGATTCCAATTTTTCAATGTATTTCCAATTGTTTGATCACAGAAGGACCTGGGACCTTTTACTGTTTTGTTTACCAACATAAAATCATTCAGTCATAGTATTTATCAGTGGCATCCATTATTTACCATTCTGAGCTTTCTGATGATCATCGGGAAACAATAAGTGGCACAGATAAAGTTCCAGACTAGCAGGCTGGGATGGAAGCTCTGTTGGCAGAGTGCTGCCTAGCATGCACAAAGCTCTGGCTGGGTTCAACCCCCAGCACCACGTAAACTGGGCGTGGTGGTGCATTCCAGCCATAGGGAGATGAAAGTAAGAGGATGAGAGGTTAAAGGTTATCTCAGCAAATAATGAGTGCAAGGCCAGCCTGCACTACATGAGACTATCTCAAAATATAAAATAAAAGCTCCAGACTGGATGAAAGAAATCAGATGTCCAATTTAGCCTGTGCCTTCTCATTGAGGATTTTTTTTATAAAAGTTTCATGAAACTAACAAAATATTAAAACAACAACAAAAATTCAAGATCACATGAAGAATATGATACTAAGACATCTTGAGAATGCTCACTTCTCCTTCTTAGAACCCTAGGATCCAGCTTACTGATGCAGGAATTTGATTTGGGGTCCAGATCTCCAAGTATAAGTTCTCTAGAAGTTATGAGACTTGAAAAAGCCCACTTAGAATGGCACAAGGCTAAGGGTGTTTTATGCAGTGTCTCACAAACTTTGCTGTGCATTAAAATCACGTAGGGCACTTTAACAATCCCAGAGTCCAAATCGTAGCCCACACCAAGTAAATCAGCATCTCAGAAGGTGGAACCAAGTGTTAGTAATGTTTAAGTCCTTTATGATTCCTATGTACAGCCAAGTCTGAGAGCTAATGATCTAAAAATACTTAGTCCATTCATACCTGTTACATATAAAGGCCAACGGCTTTTTGAGGTTTGAACACCACTGTTTATAGTTGAAATATTCTCTGTATACATGGGAACATTGTCAGAGCTACAACTTACTATGATTTGACTAGGTTCTTGATGAAGAAGGGGATAGCTATAGAAAGCAAAACACATACTTCCTCACTGACCTGCTCCATGGTATCCTTTCCACTTAGAAGAGGGAGAAGCTCCATATCTTCCCAGCACTAACCTAAGAAATAGGACATAGAAAGACAGACTTAAAAGGCAGGTCCCAAATGTAAGCATTATTCATAGCCCTTTTATCATGATGACAAAGGACTCACATTTAGTTGAATTTCATTTTGAGGCTACTCAATCGAGTGCACAGAATATTTTTAGCTAAAACAAGCTGCCAGCATTATAGGAAACATGTGACTGCTTTGTAACAATCATGATCCATCCCTCTGAGAAGGACCACGGATTACTTTTTAAAATTATTTATTTAATAACCACATAATTAGAAGAGGCATTTCATTACAACAGCATTGACATATTCAATAACAATTTCCAGAGCTAAGGTGCTTCTCTTTCAAAATTGGCTGTAAATTTTTAGGTCTACAGTTATACAATATTGTACTCCATATAAACCCTATAAGACATAAAATTAAATGAGGTTTTAAACTTTGAAAAAGATTTCCATTTCATTATTAAAATACACAGTTTCATTCAGAAAAATTAATTTTTAATACAATTAACACTAAGATGCATATGCGTTTCTAATCTCTATATATCTGATTATTACTAGTCACAGTTGGTTACTTTCTGAGCTCCTTGGCATATGAGCATGGATATAAAGTAATCAGATAGATTCCAATGGTAATGTTTTTCATATCTAGTGATTATTAAGGAGCAAATTTTTATGCTTTGAAGAACTTTTTTTGTACACCTACTTCCCAGGTAGCACCCTCCCATAACCTCCCTCCCCCCACTAGAGCCATTATACTCTGATATCCCTGGTACTGTCTGCTGCGTTGTCGGCACCCCCAGCCATTCCCCACTACTTGCCCTTCTGGTGAATCTAGTCAGCCTATCTAGAGGTCTTTGTTTTAGGAGGGTCAGCTGTTCCTCATCTAGTGGTAATCAGTTGTCAATATTCCTTTGGATAAGATTGGGGTCTGTTGTTCAATTTCCCAGTTCTATGCTGGGCACTGTCTGGGAGTCTCTTGGGCCACCCTGGTCAACAACTCAAAGGAAGGTATCTCCTGTCTGGCATTGTTGCTGGTTATGTAGCCTTTAGCTATACATATGGACTCTTATGAAATTATTGCCCCCTTTAATCTTTGGTTATACTTTCCTTTTGGATGTTTAAGGCCACACAGTTGGTCCAGATAAACCCTTTACTCTTAAGATCGTTTGAGGATCTGTTCCTCAGGGGTCACATGGGCTTGGGAGGAGCCCTGGCTCCTTTCTTTTACCAGTTCCGCCTATGTGAAGATAAATCAAAGGTCCTGTTCCACCATGGTTGGCTTCGCTCAGAAGCATGGAGGAAATTATTCCTCTGTGTTGACTCTCCTCTTTATAGACTGGACACTGGTTCAAGTCCATCTGGTGGGGTCTCCTCAGCCTCCTTGATCAAGAGGACAGGTGACCCACCACTATTATAGGACATTTTGAGAGATGCTCATAGTCCCCTGGAACTAGTCGACCTAGGAGGGCAAGGAGCAAAAAGTGTCCTTCATGTCCCTCTGACCAAATTATTATAGACCTCAAGAAGGTTAGTTCCACCAGTCTGGTATTTTTAATTACTGTGTGTCATGTAGATAAATCCTAGGCAAAGACCAGTTGTTCTCAGATAAACCTTACCTAGACATATATTTCTTGATCAACTATGTATAATTTATCAGTAGGTTGTAGGAGTAATATGGTTCTCTCTGGTTTTCAAAACTAGCTAGGCATTGTTTATCTCTCACATTGTCTCACCCCTCCATCATGGTTTTCCCTCTTAAGGTGCCCCCACTTCCCCCCTTTCCTCCTTGCTAACCTCCTTTTCCCTTTCTCCATCCTCTCTTGAGCTCCTTCTTTCCCTTTATCCACTAGTTTCCTTGTATACCCTTCCCTCCCCCCCCCCTTAAACTAACCCAATTTTTATCCATATCTCCCTTATTAAGGCCTGCTTCCTATTGTTCCTCTCTTTCAGGTTATTTCTTTTCCTTTACCTCCCTGTTTCCTTTCCATTATCCTGGTTCCTGTCGTTATGTCTGGTCGCATTCTTATTTATCAGAGTGGTTCTAGGATCCACATATGAGGGATTACATTTTTAACCACTGACAAAGCATCCCTGTGAGCCATTTCTGCTCTTTGTGACTTCAGGCAGTCTCAGCCGCTAGAGAGAAGCCTCATTTCCTCTTCTCTCACTTGATTTTACAGGTGGTAAATGTCACTGGCAACCAGGACATCTGTTACTACAATTTCCTCTGTGCTCACCCCTTGGGCGTCCTGAGGTAAACCAAGCTCTCTCATTCCTCATGAAGCATTAGAGAATCTTTTCTGTCTAATATGACTTCAGGTTTTTTTGAGTTTTTAAAATATTTTATTTATTATTTTTAATTTTTCTTATGTGTATGAGCATATTGCCTGCATGTATATAAATGCACTCATGTCGTACAGTGTTTGCGAAAGTCAGAAGAGATCATCAGTTCCTCTGTAAGAGGAATCAGTGCTCTTAACCTCTGAGCCATCTCTCTAGCCCATTGCTCCAGTTTTTTAAAACACACACACATACAAACACACACAAAACAAACAAACAAACAAACCCCAAACAAACAAGAAAACCAAAAAACCAGCTGAGGGAAGCTCTCAGGGTATACCAGGTATGCTTATCTTTTCCCTGTGTGAGGGAGGGCCCCAGGCAACTTTCCTAAGACTAACCTGCAGAGGCACGGGCAGTGAGGTTTTTGAAAGTCAGGTCCCTGGCTATGGTGGCAGATGCCTATGGATATAGGCGACCTCCTTGTCCCATTCAATCACAGAGCCTCATGAGGTAGATGTTATCATTACCTTCATTTTTTTCCATAGAACAAGCTGTAGTTTTTATTACTTAAAAAAGCCGGGCGTGGTGGTACACGCCTTTAATCCCAGCACTTGGGAGGCAGAGGCAGGCAGGTCTCTGTGAATTCCAGGCCGGCCTGGTCTACATAGCAAGTTCCAGGACAGCTGGGGCTACAGGGAGACTGTGTCTCAAAAAGACCAAAAAAAAAAAAAAAAAAAAAAAAAAAGCTCATGGTTATTTTGCTTTCTGACTCTGTGCTTGTGCCTTCAACAATTTCACAACAATTTTTTGCTCCTCAATAAGGAAAGGAAAGCACTCTTGATCCTGTCACGAACACATTTAACACACATAGAACCACCGTAGGCCCTGCTGACGTGTTTTTTTTTTTGGATAATCTCATGAGGATGGTAGGTCTCATAGCACGCCCCCCTCAAAGTCTGCCTGGGCACACACCACACGCAGATTTTGGTGCTTTCCCAACCTTCTTGGTATAAAGGTAAACAATCGTGTTACCAGGGGTCCAGAACAGCCTAGTTTTGTTAGAGGCTGTGTTGTAGGAAAGTCTACAACAGTATGTCAAATGCTGGACCATTCTGAATGCCTGTAAACACCATCCCCAGCCTAAAAGCCATTACATTCATTTTTAGACGAAGATATTTAGGCATAGACAGGTAAGGACCTGCTGAATTCAGGTCCCTTCCTTGTTAAATGATGCCAGAGTTTGTCTCCAGACCTGGCTATTCTAAAACCATCAGAACATGGTGAGAAAGAGTATTAGCCTAGGAGGTAGGAACCTGAGTTCCTTCTCTAGGACAGAACTAGCTTTGAGTTCCTGAAATAGAGCTGTTGTCTGTTATCTATGTTTATCTGAAATTCACAGCTGGAAAGCTGAATATTGACACATAATGTGGGTCTACCAGTGAGAGTTCACTCCCATAGTGTAGCTACTAAAATGCTTGTCCATCTCTGGGACAGCTTTTTCTCAGGACTCATGCTTGGCCAGGGTCATCAGAACAAGAGAAGATCAAGCAGGGATGTTGCATGGGCATTCCTGAGAGGAAACAGCCTCATTAAGCCAAGTAAGCATCTTCAAGTCAAGGAGCTAAATTAAAGGGGATTTCTGGTGATGGTTCAGCCCTGAAATCCTAGGGAAAGGTTAGTGATGAAAAACACTGAATGCTGAGTTCACGCACACATTTTCACACTCATTCTCTGAGTCCTCATGATTGTTTTCATACTTATGATTTCTCATTGTCCCTACAGTGCCTTCAATAATATTCTCAGTAACCTGGGCCACGTGCTCCTGGGCTTCCTCTTCCTGCTGATAGTCTTGCGCCGAGACCTTCTCCATCGAAGAGCCCTGGAAGCTAAGGACATCTTTGCTATGGTGAGGAGAAAGTAGGCAGATCAAAGGTAGGAGCTGGGAAGGACCAAGATTCCAAGCAGGTCCGCAGAGGGGGAGGGACACTTGGCTTGATGGTGTGATGATAAACTGCATAATGAGCCACTTGAGGCCAACATTTGGGCTTCCAGGTTCCACATGTCACTAGTAGTGTGTCTTTCTGTTAACAACCCTTTCTCCTCTTTTCAGGAGTATGGGATTCCCAAACACTTTGGTCTCTTCTATGCTATGGGCATCGCACTGATGATGGAAGGTGTGCTCAGTGCTTGTTACCATGTCTGCCCTAATTACTCCAACTTCCAGTTCGGTAATTAGAATTTATATCAGCAACATAGATTTGAGTTGCAGGAATCTTGTGCTGGGACCCTTCCAAGCATTAAATTCATATTCTCAAGGCACTTGGGGAAAGCTGAAATGATCTGAGTATATCTTGCCATCGAACACGGCTTCTGTATGTTGTACCCTTTTTTTCTCTCAGATCATCTTTTAGACTAGAAAGCACTTCCATCTAATGCTGATGCCATGGAGAGTCACAAAATCAGAGAATGGGCTAAGCATCGCCACCTTTAGATTCCTTTTCCTGTAACTTATCTAGTTGTGCAGTTAGACCACTCTGGAAGAAAAGTATTGGAAAATCCAATTTAGAGTAGACTAAATAATCACATGTCTGGAAGGCAGAGAAAGAGAGAAAGCTTGTGGCAGGCTTCCCTGGTGGCTCTGGCTCCATCTCTCCATCTGACCCCTTGTATGTATGTACCCAGCTAGTGTGCTGGCTTTATCCTGAGCCTAACTTGTTCATAGTGACCAAAAGTAGCCAAAGCAGATCCTGGCTTCAGGTCTCCATCTCCAGTTCCAGAAGAGATTTCAGGTTGGCTTATAGAAACCTCTACTTAGACCAAGAAAACATCTTATAAGAAACCCCAGAATTGGCCAAGTATGGTGGTGCATGTCTTTGATCCCAGCACTTGGGAGGTAGAAGCAGACAGATCTCTGTGAGTTCAAGGTCAGCCTATTCTACATAGTGAGTTCCAGGCCATCCAGGGCTACATAGTGAGACTTTGTCTCAAACAAACAAGCAAATAAAAAACACAGAATAATGTTCCCTGGTTGCTGGTCAGCTCAGGCCTAGGTGGCTACACCAATCAGCAAAGGAGATGGGATTACCTTTGGACCTTTTACCCAATTCTTGGCTCCAAGTGGTCCCATCCCTGGAGCTAAGAGTTGGGTAAAAACTTTTCTGAAACCAAGAAACTGGGAAGATGTATGTTTCTGAATTTAAAAGGAGGTAGATAACAGTCAGTCCTGAAATATTACCAAGGAAGAAGAGCAGGATTGTGGTGTGTACCAGTAATTCCAGCACAGAGGGAGGTTGAAATAGGAGGAGCTCTAGTTCATGGCTTGTGTGGGCTACATATATCTCAAAGAAACAAAAAAATTAAAAATAAGAGCTGTGCAATGCTCCCCACACTCAAAGATAATGATTTTAAAATAGTTTGTTCTCTGATCCCCAACTGTTAGAACACCACAGACATTTTGTCAGGTTTAATTTTTAAATTTAAATTTTATTTTATTTTATGTGTATGAGTGTTTTGCCTGTATGAATGTGACTGCTCCTCTGTCATGCAATGCCCAAGGAGGCCAGAAGAGGGCATGGGATCCCCTAGAACTGGACTTAGAGATAGTTATTAGCCACCATGTGGGTGAGGGGAACTGAACCTGGGTCCTTTGTAAGAGCAACCAGTGCTCTTAACCACTGAGCCATCTCTTCAGCTCCTAAAAAACATTTTTAATAAACAAAACTACAGCAAATAAGGTCATTTGCTGCCCAGAATAAAGAATTGATGCTTCTAAATGTTTGCCTTAGATCTACTTTTTAGAACAAAAAAACTATGGTAAAGTTTAACCACTTTTAACCTATTTTGAACCCTTTCAAGCAACCCTCCTTCCCCTGCAGAGACAGAAACCAGGACTTATTTGATATTTCTTCTATTTTGCTTTTGTATTTTTACTACAGTTGTGATAAATTAGTATTCATTTACCACACTGTGTCCTGCACAATTTTTCATTCAATACCCAACACTTATCAAAATTTAATCAAGAACATAGGTTCATTCATTTTCAATCACTATCGTATTCTATTACAAAATGTATCGAATTTATCACCTCCTTCATTGAACACTTAGGTATTGCTGATACTTCACTATTCCATCCAGTGCTACAAAACCTTTCTTAGACATATCTCTCTTTAAGATGTGAGGGAGATCCCCTGGGGTACCTATAGGTAAGAGTTTTGAATCACCTGGCTTGTGTGCGTCCTCTGTTTTGCCAGAAACTAACAAATTTCTTTCTGAGTTTTAATTCCCACTTTCACTAACTGTGTGAGAGCTTTTATACCCCCACATCAACATTAACATTTACCAGTCACACATTTAAATTTTTGCTGAAGTTTTGAGTAATGGGGGCCTCTCACTGTTTTGCTTTGAGTTTCTATAACTGTAATACAGCTGAGTTATAGTGAATATACAGCTGTTTTCCATTAGGAGGCTATAAGGTTATGCATATAGGTGCAGTAGTGAAGGTGGCTATATTTCAGAGTACTGAAAACAGCTTCCCAGACCCACCTGACACTCATCTAATTGTCACCCTGCCTAAACTATCACCATTAAAGAGTCTTTTGTCACAATTATCGAATATCAGGTTTAAAGTGGAAATATCCTTGCAATGGAGTAACTGTTTATTTTCCCTGTTTGGTGTTTTTTCTTTATAAACCCAGCACATACTTGAATGGGGAAGGGAAGGGTTATAAATGAGTTTATAGGTTCTTCCTCGACAATGTGCCTGGGGGACTGTTGTATTGGAGACCCCCCCACCCCCACAGCAGCAAATACTCTAGTGACTAAAGGCAGGGGGTGCCTCAGAAGCTGAAGAAAAATCTAGAGTGTCACCTGTCAGTCACCTACTGAACTTCTTGTCTTGGCTCCTCCTCCTTCGGGTCTTCAGACACCTCCTTCATGTACATGATCGCCGGCCTCTGCATGCTGAAGCTCTATCAGACCCGCCACCCCGACATCAACGCCAGCGCCTACTCTGCCTACGCCTCCTTCGCCGTGGTCATCATGCTTACAGTCCTTGGAGTGGTGGGTCCTCTCCTTGTGTCTGGCTCTGGAAAAGCATCTTCTTGGGACACTTTGTTGTTGTTGTTGCTTGTGTCTTTGCTGGGTTTGGATTAGCCATAGTCCTTGGCTTGTCACACATTCTCATCATGGGCTTGGTTCATGGCTCTCTGGCTCAGTTGTTTAGCAGATGATTTCTTTTAATATAATATTTTGTACTTATTCTTTGAGAATTTTTACATATGCATACTATTGTATATTTTAATTGTATTCTGCTCCTACTCCCCACCTCCAGTTCCTCCAAGATCCTCCCCATACCCCCTCTCAACTCCATGACTTTTAAAAAAATATTTTAATATTCATTTTTCATTTGAAATTATTTTCTTTTTTTCTTTTTTCTCTCTTATTATTTATTTATTTAATTTTTAGAAGAAGCGTTTAATTACAGCTTTAACATATTCAGTAACAATTTCCAGAGCAAGAATACATCTCTTTCAAAAGTGGCTGTAAATTTTTAGGTTCACAGTTGAATTAATACAGTCGTACAATATTGAACTCAGTATAAACCCTGTAAGACATAAAATTGAATGCGTTTTTACCCTTTAAAGAAGATCTTGGGGGCGATGGCATGCAAAAACTGACACTGAAACTTTGAAACAAACAAAAAAAGATTTCCATTTCATTTTAAAATATCCTGTTTCCTACAATTTTAATGCTACTAACACTTAGATGTTTGCACGTGTCTTTAATTTCTATATATATGATTATTACTAGTCAAATATTCATACACGCATATAATGTTTTGATCAAATCCACCCTCCCATTCCCTCCCCTCTAATTCCTCCCCTTTACCTCCACCATTTTCCTTCCCAACTTCATTTGTTCTTTTTAAAAAAATATCCACTGTATGTGCATGGGTGTGGGGCTATCTGCTGGAGAATGGGTAGCCTCTCAGAGCCTACATCCCTGAAGAAACCTGATTGTCCCTCCCCAAGTAGCTCTCAATTTCCAGTAGTTCTTAGGAGAAGGGTGGGACTTCATGAGCCTCTCCCCCATCCATGTTGGGATTTTGGCTGGCTTAATCTCGTGCACGTGTTGTAGATGCAGCTCCAGCCACTGTGGTTTCATATGTGCAACTGAACTGTCATGTTCAGCAAATGCTGTTTTGCTACAGACATCTACTCCCTCTGATTCTTGGTCTTTCCACCCCATCTTCCATGATGATCCCTGAGCTTTGGAGAAAGAAGATATGATATAGATGTCCCATTTAGAACTAAGCACTCCACAATCTCTTATTCTCTGCACATTGATCAGTTGTGGATCTCTGTATTAACCAGCATCTACTATAAAAAGAAACATCTCTGATGAGGGTTGAGAGATGCACTAATATATGGGCATAAAGAATTTAGGGGGTAGTTTATTAGTATATCCATTTAGCAGAATAATAGTACTAGATTCTCCCCTAGGGCCTGTAACCTAACCAACCACGAGTGAATTTTGGGCCCAGTTAACAGTACCAGGCATGGATTCCATCTTGTGGAGTGGGCTTTAAATCCAATGAGAAAGTGCTTAGTTATTCCCACACATTCATGCCACTTTTACACCAATGGGCGTATCTTCCCAGGCCAGTCATTACTGTATCTCACAGGGTTCACTGCTAAGTAAGACTGTTGATTACTTTCCTCTTCAGGTAGCATGCACAGGGACTATAGAATAGAATAGAATAGAATAGAATAGAATAGAATAGAATAGAAATCTTCCACCACTACGAAATCTACCTAATACGGATGGTACCAGCCTGATTTCTCTATGTCCTATGACTCAAGTATGTAGTACCTTCAGCACTAGGGTCTTATCATCAAGTCTGGAAGGTAAGCAAAGGGAATGACAACAGCCTGTAATGTTTGAGGAGTAGGTCTTTGGGTGCCACTGACAACTTAAAAAGAGGAAACCTATACCTGGCACTTGGCTTTTTATTTGATAACCTATTGTGTCTGGGGAGGCATTGTTCCCCTGTTACTGGATAACTCCATTTAAACTCCCTTTGTGTTTGTGTGTGTGTGTGTGTGTGTCTGTGTCTGTGTCTGTGTCTGTGTGTGTGTGTCTGTGTCTGTGTCTGAAAGCTTCTTCTGTAGTAAGTTTCCATATGGCTTTTTCAATGATCTTTTGTGTTAATTATACCTCCCCATAATCCTTCCTCTACTCTGTCATCTCACCCTCCACCCCCATTTAACCCCTTCCCCTTCATATCACCTGTGTTCTACTCCCTTTTTCCTTGACATCTCCCCATGGCCCCTTGGGTATTCCAGTTTAAACACACATATTTAAAGATTCAAAACAAGCATCCACATATGAGAGAACATTCTCATTTGTCTTTCTGGGCCTGGGTTACTCTCCTCTTCCACAATATTTCCTGAGTCTTGGGGGGAAGAAGTGTGACGTAGATGTCCCATTTATGCCTAAGCACTCTGCAACCACTTACTCATTCTCTGAACTTTGGCCAATAGTGAATCTATATTAACCACCATCCATTGTACAAAGAAGGTCCTCCGATGAGGACTTAAACCTACACTAATCAATCTGTCTAGAAATACTTATTTAGAAGGTAGTTTGATATTATATCCATTCAACAAAATAATAGTAGTAAGTTCTCCCCTTGGGCCTATGAGCTCCGCAGCCACAGATTCTTGTCCAGATTTACAGTACCAGGTATGAGTTTCGTCTTGTGGAGTGGGCCTTAAATCCAATCAAAAAGTGGTCGGTTACCCCCTTAGCATTCATGTTGCTACTGCACCCACTGGCATATCTTGCCATTCTGGTCATTAATTTATTATTGATTTCTACGCATGGTAGACACCTATAAAACTAGCCCAGAGTGGTTTTAATATTAAAGTGGAGTGCAAGTCATGTTGAATTGGAATAGATACATCTAAGCTGATTGGGGAGTCTCACCAGAAAGAAGAGACATTATTTTTAGCTCTGAATGGGCAACTGCTGTTGGCTGTTTTCAGTTATTTGCAGAGCCTTCTCCCCAATTCTAGATCTGCTGTCCTTGGTTGTTATTGTTCCACACACACCCCCATCTCCTCTTCTTTCTGCTTTCATTTGGCTAGATAGTACAGTAAGTTCTGAGTTTCGAGAAGGAGAAAACAACATGCACACAGGGCTAGATTGTTTTTAGAATATGTTAATTCACTCTTTGACAGCTTAAAACATGTGTACAAGGTATCTTGATCTTGTCTACCCCTGACTCCCTCTCCACACCCCCCTTAGAGCACCCCCAACACATTCCCCTCTCACATTCATGTGCTCTTTTCTTTTTCTTTAATAACCTATTGAGTCCAGTTAGTGCCGCCTGCATGTACATGGGTGTGAGGCCATCTATCTGAGCATGGATAGCCTACTATAGCAACCTACCAGTGGCCACACCTCCAGAAGAAAAATTACTCCCTCCCCACCACAACCATCAACTGTCAGTAGTTCCTTGGCTAGAGCTGAGTTCTCATCAGTCCCTTCCCCATCCATCCTGAACTGTTGACTGGCTTGATTTTGTGCAGGTCTTGTGCAGGTAGCCACAGATGCTGTGAGTTAATGAGTGCATTGGCCCTGTCATGTGCCTCACAGCTCTCCTCTCATCTTACAGCTCTTCTCTCCTTCCCACACCCACTTGAGCCTTGGGGGTAGTTGATACTGATGAACCATTTAGAGCTGAGCATTTATAGTCACTTATTCTCAGGACTTTGCCAGTTATGAGTTTCTGCATTAACCACTGCCCACTACAAAAAGAAGCTTTTCTGACCAAGGTTGATAACACTACTAATCTATGGGTATATACATGAATGCTTAAAAAGCAGTTTGATGATATGTCCATTTATCAATGGCTAGGGTTTTTTTTTTATTCTAAACATGCAAAAGAAACAATGATTCTAGAGAGTTCTCTGGGAAATCTCCAGCTCACAATAACCTCCATCTTTATTCCTAGGTGTTTGGAAAAAATGATGTGTGGTTCTGGATCATCTTCTCTGCAATCCATATTCTGGCCTCTCTGGCCCTCAGCACCCAGATCTACTACATGGGGCGTTTCAAGATAGGTGAGTAAACACATGTGCTATCTTCCCCCAAGGAAGCAAGCACGGGTATTCATCATCCTAAATGACAATGCTACTGGTCATCATGAGTATATGATCTTAACTCTGCACTATGTCTAATTGTCTCTGAGAATGTCTTCTTCCCTATAGATTTCATTAAGCTGTAATCACTATTTTTGTTTTCAACTGAGAAACTTAGCTTCCCACACCAGAGCTGAGACATACCTCCACCTGCTATTTGCAAACACTGCGATCCACCAGACTTTGAAAGTGCTTTGGGAGAACAGTAGGTTCAGCACACTACTAATCCCACCTAGAGGAACATTTTTCTTCCACAACATTCAAAAAGAAGCATTTCTCTAATGCTAAATGATTGTCATTTGCATTGGAAGAAATTCAAGATGCTTCCAGCATTACATTTTAAAAATCATTTTAATATATAGGAAATAATACTTAAAAATTCATTTGTATACTTAAGGTAAATCAAATCATTATATATAAACAGGCCTACCTCTAGTATTAGCAGAGCCCAGAAAAAGAAAGCAAATAAAAAGGTCACAAAATAAGGGTGAAATTTTAAAGTTATAAAGCAGTCTAAGAGCTATTAAAAATAAAAGGAAAAAGAAAGGTAGTGGGGCAGGAGGAGGGAGGGAGGGAAGGAAGGAGGGAAGGAAGGAAGGAGGGAGGGAGGGGTGAGCTAGGAATATAGTTCAGTGGTAAAGCATATCCTTAGCATGTAGAAGACACTAGCAATAAAAACATAAAAGAAAAGGAAAGGAAAGAAAGAAAGAAAGAAAGAAAGAAAGAAAGAAAGAAAGAAAGAAAGAAAGAAAGAAAGAAAGAAAAGAGGGAGGAAGGGAGGAAGGGGAAGGAAGGAAGAAAAAATGAAAATCAAAATAGCAAAATGGTAAATATACCTTAATCACAACCTAGAAGCTTCTGGTTCAAATTCAGAATTCTTGGTCCTTCAAAAGAACACTGTAGAGGCTAGAGAGATGACTCAGCAATTAAGAGCAATGACTGTTCTTCCAGAGGACCCAGGTTTTATTCCCAGCACCTACATGGTGGCTAGCAACCATCCATAATTCCAGTTATAAAGGATCTGATGCCCTCTTCTGGCACCTGAGGGTTTGCACACAGGTGGTACACTTACATCCATACACACTCATGCACATTAAAAAAGATCACTATAGAACATCTCTGTTCTTTCTACCTCTGGCTCTGCCTTATATCTTAAAAGATCTCTCAGATATGCAAAAAAAATCTAATGTCCATTCACATGCCGCATGGATGGTAATCACTTAACCACCCCCTTGCCCCTGGAAGTGCACACTAAGGGGGCCATCTAACTTAAGATAAACCAGGGGAGGCTTTGCAGGTTCTGAGAGGAAGCCCAGGGTTATCTGATCTGGGAAAGGAATTTGGGGGTCCAGTAATCCATACTGTAATCTGGAAGTGCAAGGATTCTTTTCCTTGTTGTGCAGATCCCGCCCTCAAAGGGTAACAATGAGCCTTCTAAAATAAGAGAACCCTCTTTCCCACAGCAATTCAGTGTAAATAAGTGGATTAAAGGTTATATCAAATAAAACAGGTTCTCAATCTGCACATGGTGATGGACATCTATAATCTCAGTGCTTGAGACATTAAAGAAGGGGCATGATGAGTTCAAGGCCAGCCTGGCTACATATCTAAGCCCTATTTAAAAAAAAAAAATCTAAAAAACATTAATATCTTCAGTGTTTGCTTTTCTTTTTAAAATCTTGTCAGTAATCTGCTCTTATATAGGTAGTATACCTCCAAAGAATATTTGGTACGGTGTGCTGGTCATGTCCCATCTTCCAGACAAAAAAAGGAGTAAAGTCATACAAACTTTCAAAAGGAAACTAATTTGGAAACTTAGTCTTCTTTCTCCTAGAGTCATAAACACAAAACTAGGTCTTAATAATAACCCCCGCAGTCCTGTAATGCCAGTGACACCAATGGTGGTAATACAATACTGATTCCTTTTACCTTTTTAAATTGCTTTTTTAAAATTTTGTGTATGAGTGTATTGCCTGCATGTATGTGAGAAATAAGGAAGAATTTATATTATGACAATGCAGTAATCCATGAGGGTCTCAACAGGAAAAAGTTGTTGTATGCAAATACTGGTGAGGGTTTATTCACAAAAGGATGATTGACAAGTCAGATATGTGAGAGAGGAGATGAAGGGGTTGCCAGGCAACCTGGCATTCCCAGCAGTGAAGTGATCACTATCCTTAAACCCAGGTCAGGAAAAAGTAGTTACCAAGTGTGTCATGGAGAGGAATTCCCTCTGATGGTAATAGTGACCTTTAGATAACAGTCAAGTCCAGCCTGATGCAGCCCCACAGGGAGGGCCCAGGAAGAGCTGCTCAGTGTCCATTCTCCTTCATCTGCCCCTACAGTGTCCACATCCAAAGACTGTAAGGGACCCACTGATTGTAGTCCAGACAGGGCAGCTTCCTGGAAATGATATGAGAGAGAAGTGTGGCAAGTGGGAAGGGTATACTCAAGGAGTCATCCTCAGAAGATTACAGATTTAGAAGAGTCAAAAGGAAAACCTGTTGTTAGAAATAAAAGGTGGTAAATTTGCATTACTCTTCAGATGAGTCTTAATAGGACGATTGCAGCACCGTGATCCAGACACCATGATGGGGTCCTGAAACCATGGACAGACCCCTCAGTTCCCAAGAAGAGCTTCATTAGGATAGAGCCCTCACCAACAGCATGCCAGGGTCCTGAAGGGAAACAGCACTGAAAACAAAGGGAGTTTCTTGCTCTTACAGGTTTGGGCTGGGAGGCTGTCATACCATGTGGCCTAGCCTAGTGCCAGGAGGTACAAGGCGAAAAGTCAGTAGATAAAAGTAGAGGTTCAGGCTTGTCTTGAACCTGGATATCAGGGTAAGGCTGGACTTGGCAGCTGCAATGCAGAGAGAGACTGCAAAGCCACAGAGGGCTTACCAGCTCTCTGTGCAGAGGGGCTGCAGGGGCAGGGACTCTTGGAGAAGAGACGGGATTGGGGGAGCAGCTAGAGATCTGCGGTGTCGCAGCTGTTTCCTTGTGAAAGTGACTGTGTTTAAACTTATCCCAAAGACAGAAATTTGGATTCATGGGATTATTCAGCAACTCCAACCTCTCCACACATTTTCTTGCTGTCTTTGCTTTCTAAACATGTTCCTTTCTCTGAGATCCTCAAGAGAGAACACAGGGAAGATAGCAACAATAAACAACATTTTATAAGTAGGACAGAAAACCACAGAGCCTCTTACCCAGATCATTACTGTATCCCTCAGTCTCAGACCTCTAGGATGTTCACAAAAGAAAATGGATTCTCAATGGCAAGCATTGCATAAAAGTAGATAAGGAGAGAAAAGAGTCAGTTTATTCTTTCGGGAGAGGCCTTCTGAATGTTTGAGACAGGCAGAAAGAGCCTTTGTTCTTCATGAGGAACAAGCATGACTTAGAAACAGAAAATAAAATCATTTTGAGAAAAAAATAAATAAAATGACTAGTAGTTTACCTGTTTGACTTCCTTCTTACAGATCATTTCTTTCTCTCATTTCTTCTCTGCTTCCCACTGATTCAGACGTGTCTGACACAGGTAATGTCCTGCGGCCATCATAGGGCTCACATTGTTTCTAGACCCACCTGGCTGGCTGCCCACTCTGCCCCCTGCTTCCCCTTCCAGGTCAGGCAGGCTGCATGGGATGGGGATTCAGGAGAGGCTCAGAGGCCAGGCTGCACCCCATCTCATCCTGGGGTGCACTACTTCTGGACTATCCCACGGCCAAGTCCCTCCCTCCACTAAAGTTCACCACATGGTTAGCCTTAGAGTAGAGGAACACCGCCAAGAGAATTGGGATGCAGTCTCTCTGCAATGCTGGCTCAGGGTACACCCAGGCTTGATTTGATGTCAAGACAAGGATAGCTCTCAGAAAGACAGCCCTCCTTTGACCTTCAGTCTGTTGGTGTAGCAGCTAGGACTCTCACACCGATGAGACCCATGCATGCCTTTTGCAGGACTGAATTTTTAAACACCTTTCCTGTCTCTTTCTTCCCATCTTAACGTATATTCCTCTAATTATTTTGGCTATTATGTTCATGCAGATACACTTTCCAAACATTCTTAATATAGTCCAGGACCCCTTGGTTCAGTCCTTACTAACACATAATTTTTTGAGAAATGAAGATTTGAACCTTTACAAGATTTCCCACCCTATAACAGCTCTGCTATTCAGAAATCCCACCAGGGTGACCTGTAAACAAATGGAGCTTAGCTGAAGGAAATAGAAGGTGACTAGTTGCCTGTGTTATCTGCAGGTGTCTGCCATTTGTGTCTCTGTCCAGCCTTTCTGCTGTATGACACATGGGCATGGCACTCCCCCATGACAACACCATTTTCTATTTTTCTATTTCTTTTTTTACTCATTTTATTGTTTTCTGTATTTTGGAGTTGTAACATTGTAACACTAGTTATCAGCTTTTCTAGTATACCCATTTAAAGAATAATCATGAAAGTCTTTTTTTCCCCCCAAAAGACCCATTGAGACCTAAAGAAGACAAAGAATATTGGAAGAATAGATCACATAAGTGACACTCAGAGTAATTATCCAGGAAGACAACACCATTTTCTAAATCATACAGTTATTGCTCAGTTACTAGGTGCAAAGCAGTCTAATGCACTTTATCAGAGTGAAGACGACATCATCTTAAGCCCCAAAGCCGGGGTCATTTCCCAGTGTGTGTACTTTGGCTCTGACCAAGCCTTCTTATGGGATTGTGTCATCACAGACCTGGGAATTTTCCGACGGGCTGCTGTGGTGTTCTACACGGACTGTATCCAGCAGTGCAGCAGGCCTCTGTATATGGTATGTGCATGTTCCTGTGTTCCTTGGCCTTGTCTCAGAAAGTAGGGGAGCAGCGGGAGAGCTGGGCTTGGGGCAGTAATTCAAACCTCCAAAAATCAAAGGGGCCAGATGGCCTACAGTGGCTGGGGTCCAGTCAGCGGGGGAAGAAACACATTGCTTACTTACTCTTTAAAAGAGACAAGCTAGTTCTAAAAACTAAAATAAGATATATTTTTAAAAGGCAAGCTAAGATGGTCCCGTTTTTATAAATGAAGCATTTGCTAGTGTACAAAGAAGATAAAGGATAGCCAGGTGTGGTGGTATATACTTTTAATCCCAGCACTTAGGAGGCAGAAGCAGGTGGAGCTCTGTAAGATTGAGGCCAGCCTAGTCTACATAGTGAGTTCCAGGTCAGTTGAGGCTATAGGGAGACCCTGTCTCCATAAAGACAAAAAGTCTTAGTGTTAATTGCATTAAAAATGAATTTTTCTGTATGAAACTGTGTATTTTATTAATGAAATGGAGATCTTTTTTAAAGGTTAAAACCTCACTTAATTTTATGTCTTATAGGGTTTATACTGAGCACAATATTGTATAACTGTATTAATTCATCTGTAGACAAGAATGCTCTCCACTGGTTGTTTCATATCTTAAGGGAAGAAGCGAAAACATTTTCTTTCACTCTGTTTTGTACCCAGGAGCTCCTGACTACCATCTCGTCTTGTTATCTGAAATGTACACACACACACACACACACACACACACACACACCAAACTTTTACATAGTGATAATTACTGTGGGGATGATAAAGACAAAACACTGCTATAAATAATCCCAAGAGGGGCCCTCGTGGAAATGCAATTGCACATGATTAATAGCTACAACCACGGCAGCAGTTGTGAACTGGGGCTGTCCTGACCAGTGCCCATTCTGGACACTTTCATTAGAAACTTCCACTTTCCACATCATCACTTCTGAATTTTTTTTATAGCAAGAACATTTTTAATCTGTGATTATTATTTGACATTTGCCTTTGAAAGTTCTCCCTAGGGCTGGAGAGATGGCTCAGCATTTAAGAGCACTTACCACTCTTCTAGAGGACCTGGAATCGTTTCCCAATACCCACATGTTGGTTAACACCCATGCTTAACTCCAGTTCCAAAGGATCACATGCCCTCTTCTGGCCTCTGTGGGTATTTCAAGCATGTGGTGCACTTACATACATGTAGGCAAAACACTCATACACATAAAGTGAGATGAAAAATTAAAATCTTAACCATAAATAAGTAAAAGCTCTCCCTTGTGGTTTTCAGAGCACCCATTTCCATACTGAGCTTGGGAAACTGGTGCCACCACTCTGTTTTGGCTCACTAACCAGTGATCTTGGGACGTGAGCAGTGGGAAGGCCACTTACCTCCTCTGAGCCCTCAGCCTCAGCCTTAACACAGCGCTGTAGTCAGATCTAGCACTGTATTTGGGTCTGAGACATAAAAACCTAACAGTATTTTATAGTCACAAGGATTTCTACATCCTTGTGGAAAATGTGGGAATCTCTTAATCCTTTGAAGTTTGGCCAGGATTTACAAGCACTGAAAAATTGAGAGACTTGAGGCTGGTGGGTTTTATTCAGGTGAGAATTTAAAAGTCCAGTATTTTGAGGGGCTGTGAACAGGGTGGGGCAATTAACATTTGGTTTGTTGATGATGTTTTTACATTCATTGATGTGTAGAGTAGTTTCAGGTTCACAGCAAAATTATGCAGAAAGTTTCCCACACACTGTGTACAGATATAGCTATTTCCACTGTCAGCATTCCCCAAAGAACCATGCAGAACCTGCATCCGTCGGCACTGTATCATTCAGTCTGTGGTCCACAGCGGCTCACTCCTGCCTTGATCCTTGTGTGGGTTTTGGCAAAAACATAATGGCAGGTTCTGTATATAACATTACACAGAGCACTTTGCTTTTTGTTCACTTGTCCTCCCCAGTCCCTGCCAACCTCTGATCTGCTTGTTTCCATAGTTTTGCCTTCCTGTAACTGGAATCTTACTGGATGAAGCCTTCTCAGAATTACCTCTTTCACTAACACGCACTTCAGTTTCCTCCATGTGGTTTTCATGCTGGATGGCTCATTTACTTTAGTTCTGATTAATGTGGTCCTGTCTAAAAGTGCTACCAGTTATTTACTGATGAACTGAAGGACATCTTGGTTGCCTCCAGGTTTGGGTAATTATGAGCAAAACTACAATAGCAATCAGAAGCAGGTTTCTGTTTGGACATAAGTTTTCAACTCATATGGGTAGACACCATGGAGAGCAATTGCTGGATCATATGGTAAACAGCTATTTAGCTTTTTCCTGAAAACAAACAAACTCGTCAAACTGTCTTCCAAAGTAGCAGAACTATTTTGTATTCCCGCCCACATGTGTTTCATGAACGTAATTGTGGCTCCACATCCTCCCCAGCATTTGGTGTCAGTGTCTTAGATTTTAACTATTCTAGTAGGTCCTTTTTTTTTTTAATTGAAGATATTTCTTCCATATTGGATGGATCACTTAGAAAAACAGCAAATGATACTAGAAAACAGGAGCTAAGTGGTTGTGTAGATTAAAGCATAATTAAACATGTTCAGAAGTTTTAAGTGGTATCAGAGGGGCAGGAAAGGATGGCATAACCTGAACCACATAGACCATTCATCTGCATTTGCTCCCTGTTCAGTAACTTCAGTGTGAAGATTATGCTGTAGAAACCAGGCTGGGCCCCTTGGAGCCACAGTAAGGTGTAAAAACTAACTCCTGTAGTTAGTCCTGGCCACAGTGGAGGGGGTGACAGTGACCATGACAGTGAGGGAGGAACAAAGCAGCAGAACTTTAACTACTAAGTAATTTGCACATACCCCCAGCTTTCTGGGTTTCACTAAACCCTGGACGGATAGCCTCACCAGCTTCCCTGACCACACTCTCTTTCCACACTCTCTTTCATGGAGAAGCATCACATCTGTTTGCAGTCAAGCCTTGCTATTCAACCCTGCCAAGGATTAGTGTGAACCACAGAAATCTCATTTCAACAAGGCGATTGTCTCCCCAGAGGGGACGCTTTCACTCCAGCAAGTTGTGAGAGAAGTAGCACGCCAGCTCTGCTCTGCTCTGACACTTTTTTTCTTTCACAGGACAGGATGGTGTTACTCATTGTGGGGAATCTGGTTAACTGGTCCTTGTAAGTAATTTAGCAAAGTAATGTTTTTAACTTTATTAATATCTGTAACACCTAGTTTAGGTTTCCTTGACTGTCATTTTTACAGGAGAGGGTAAAACATCTTGTCTCAGACACTTGATCAAAAGGTATCTTTCCTCCTGCAAAGAAAGCACTAGAGGGCTGGCAAGTTGGCCTGCCACTAAGCCTGACAACCTGAGTTCGAGTCCTAGAACCCACATGGTAGAGAAGAAAATCATCTCTGCTAACTGTCCTCTGACCTCCACAGGCACACACAGCACACCAATAAATAAATAGATAAATAACTACTTTTTTAAAAAGCACTAGGAAGCTTTTGTGTATTGGTGGGGGCTTCTAAAACATTGATTCACTTATGTGGTCATTTGCTCAACAAGACAAATTTCTATGTGGACGAACTGGATGGATGAGTGGATGGATGGATGGATGGATGGATGGATGGATGGATGGGGAGATGGATGGGTGGATGAATGGTTAGATAGATGATTAATAGGAAGAAAAAAGAAAGTTAAGATTATGTCCATAAGTGCAAAAATACAATGTAATTTAAAATTATTTTGTAGTACTTTACAAAATAACCACTCAGAAGGCATTCTTTTCTATGGAATTTCTCTTTCTTACATTGTGTGTGTGTGTGTGTGTGTGTGTGTGTGTGTGTGTTGGGATGGAGTCCAGGGACTCCTGCATGCCTAGTAAGTGCTCTTCCACTGAGCTACACACTAGCCCCAAGTCTATTTTTATTATTACTTGGGGCTGGAGAGATGATTCAGTGGTTAAGAGCACTGACTACTCTTGCAGAGGACCTGGGTTCCATTCCCAGCACCCACATGACGGATAACAACCACCTGTAACTCCAGTTCCAGGGGATCCAACGCCCTCTTCTGACCTCCATAATCATTGCATGTGACAGGTTCACTTTCATACATGCAGGCAATATACTCATACACATAAAATAAAAATAATAAATCAAATATTTTTTAAAAAGAATTGTATTACTTTTCACCAAAACATACTATGTTTACAGTGACCAGCAATATATAGCCAATCTTCATTATTTGTAAATTTCAGTGTCTGTTTACTAATCATCATTTAGATGTGTCCTTCCCAGGAAGGACTCATTCTCATACACCCTTGAAGAAGAAATCTGTATATATGTATGTGTTTATATGATTTGCTAAAGAGAATATAGGAACACACGTGTGTTAAAACACTGAACTGAGAAAAGGCTATCCAGGAGATTTTAGTGTACTGGGGATTTCACAATCTGGAAGGAGAGATTTCCTGTACTACCTAGAAGGAGAAAAATGAAGCAAGGAAAGAAGGAAGGAAGGAAGGAAGGAAGGAAGGAAGGAAGGAAGGAAGGAAGGAAGGAAGGAAGGATGTGAAAAATCTTTCTACCAAAAATATAATTTCCTTATTAGGAAACATAAAGGAAAATGTAACTAGCTGAAGATAGCTACTGGGGCCTGGGTAAGAACATTAACTGTTGTGAAGATAACTGCTCCTGAGTTAATATATAAATTAGATCTGGAATTGAGTTGATAGGTTTATGGTAAAATTTATGTGTCTAGTTAGGCAAAGATGTCAAAGATCTATCTCTGAAAAACAAGATTAGTAGCAGAAAACAGGGGGAGTAGAAGGGTAGAGTAATGTCCAGCATTGTCCAATAGAATTTTCTGTAATGATATAAATATTCAGCAGTGCACAGAAGCTATTAACATTCACATTAACACTGTGAATGTGAAATGTGGCTAGTATGGCTGAGGAACTAGGTTTTCTGTTTTTATATAATTTTAATTATTTTAAATTTCATTTGCTATATGTGGCTACTAAATGGGATAGCATAGGATAGTCCAACTAGATAATCTAATACATCATAAAACAATAATAAAGTACTATGAGGCCCTGATCCAAAATTGAAAGTAAAAAATCAATGGGTCAGAAGAGGACAGAAGCAGGTGTGGTGGGGTGTGCCTGTTGATCCAGCTACTTGGGAGGCTAAGGCAGGAGGAGCCCAAAGTCTTGGATAACCAATCTGGATTCTGGCTCAAAATAAAATGCAAGATAGTTGGGGACATAGCTAGGTAGTGGGGCCCTTGTCTAGTGTATGTGAGTTCCTGGCTTTAATCCTCAATACAGTGAAAGTAAAGAAGGGGAGAACAGAAACCCACAAGATGCTGCATCAATGTAGATGTCTTTACAGCTCAATTTTCATAAACACGTGTGAATAATATAGAGTTTAGTGTGCTATCACAATATATGTGTGCAGTGTCCACTGATCAGCTCCAGCTTGCTTCCCTTCATCCACCCCTCCACTTCCCCATCTCTAGCCATCACTATTCTTCATTCCGGTCACTTTGCTTTTCAGGCTTCTACATATGAGAGAACATGCAGTGCTTGCCTTTGTCTTTTGTGTCTGGCTTGTTCCAGTAAACATAATACCCTCTGGATCCATTAGTTTTGCTGCAAGTCACAAGATCACATTCTTCTTTGTGACTGAATAATATTCCATTATATATTATAATACAATATATTATATATATGCCACGGTGTCTATATTCAATCTTCCATCGATAGACAACCAGACAGAACAGTAAATATGGACATGCAGGTATCTCCTCATTGTGCCAGCTTGCCATGGTGGTCCTGTAAGATGACATTACCTAGTGACATGGTGGCCATCTTGGCTTGTACATTCTATGACTTTCACACAAAGCCAAACTTACCTACTGGTGCGTTTCTCAGAATGTATCCTTTCATCGAGCAATGAATGACTGTATCTTAAAGTAGAATTTTTTTAAGTGAAGACCCTGGAAATGGGGATGGGGTGATGAATAAGCCACTTACCTTAAACCCATTTTCTGCTGCAAACACCCGGTCCCATGTCCTCAGCGCCCTCTTCGGGTTGATCTACCGGCCCAGGGACTTTGCGTCCTACATGCTGGGTATCTTCATCTGCAACCTGCTGCTGTACCTGGCTTTCTACATCATTATGAAGGTGAGCACCAGGTGGGAAGCAGGCAGTCTGGGGCCTGCCCCCACCAGGGCTCCAGCCTGACTGCCCTCTGTCTCCCCACAGCTGCGCAGCTCTGAGAGGGTCCTCCCGGTGCCCCTGTTCTGCATCGTGGCCACTGCGGTGGTGTGGGCTGCTGCCCTGTATTTCTTCTTCCAGAGCCTCAGTAGCTGGGAGGTAAGTGGGCAGGTCTCTCTGCACCATGCCCTTTGACCTTTCTTCGAGCTCCCTCTCCTGTGCCTTGTTTTTTATCATTTTCACATTACCCGAATTCAGAGTTTTATCTGGGAGATAGAGGGCTGACTATCCACACATAAACATTCAGCAGGTGACATGTGGTCAGCATTACCAGGTTACACTGCAGACACTGCAGACACTGCAAACTTGGACTTCATTGTGGGTTGTCTTAGGAGCTGCTCCCAGCCGATGTTTAACATGAGGAAGCCCATTATTTTTAGTGTATTTTCTCTATCTTTCTCATCACAGTCACCATCCGGCAATAAATGTAGGGTGTGGCAAGGGAGGTTATGGATCTACCTTATAGATGGGGATGCTGAAGTCAGTGATTTAGCTGAAGCACAAACAGGAAGTTCTCTCTCTGCTACAGCATCATCATCATTGATTTTAGAAAAATTTTATCACCTCAGAAAGAAAACTCATAACCAGATGAGCATCCATTCCCATTTCTCGGTGACCTGATCATACTTGGCAACCAGTGACCTATCTTCTGTTGCTAGAGATTTGTCCATCTGAACATTTCGTGGAGGTGGAAGTACATACTATGTGACCTTTGTGCCAGGCTTTACCCATGGAGTGTACTCTTCCACAGTGACCCATGCCATAGCCTGTATCAGCAGCTTATCCCATTGCTGCATAATATTCCACAGACATGTTATCCGTCCACTCATCAGCTGGGGACATTCGGGTTGTCTCCTTTTGGGGACTGCTATGAACAGTGCTGCTGTGAAGGTCTGTGGACACATTTTTTGTGTGTAGATGTGTTTTCTTTTGGAGTGCCTAGCACTATGATAATAGCTTCCTCAATATCAAACCCTGAAACCATTGAAGGGTGGGAATCTTGCCTACATCTGCCACACCTTCCCCCAGGGAACCCCAGCTGAATCCCGGGAGAAGAACCGCCAGTGCGTCCTGCTGGATTTCTTTGACGACCACGACATCTGGCACTTTCTCTCTGCTACTGCCCTGTTTTTCTCGTTCCTGGTGAGTTGGTCAGATCTTCCCGATGCTTTCTTCTCTCTGTCTCTGCTTGTTCCCTGCTGTTCTTCATTGTACTGTTTTACATCATTCTCTTACTACTCTCTCCAGTTCTCTGCAATTCAGTGTACAGACTGTCTCCTATTTTTAACTGTGTCTTCTCTGAGATTTTCATTTTCCTTTTCCCCTTATTTTGCAAGTTCATAAACACAGAGTGAAAAAACTATTTGCCCTAAGTTGCACAACACATTGGGATAGAATTAGTTATTCAGGGGCTGGGGAGATAGCTCAGCAGTCAAGAACACTGGGTATTCTTGCAGAAGACCCAGGTTCGAATCCCAGCATCCACATGGCAGCTAACAATTGTCCATAACTCCAGCCCCAGGGCACCCGACAGCCTCTTCTGACCTCCGCGGGAATTGCATGACATGGGTGCACTTACCTACATGCAGGCAATACACGTATGCACATAAAATAAAAATAATAAATAAAAATTAAAAAAAAAAAATTAGTCAAATGCCCAGGATTCCCCCAAGAACGACTTTGGTCATTCACTAAAACGCCCATCCGCACAGTTACTTCTCATGTTAGACTCTCTTCCTTCCCACCCTCCAGTTTCATGATGTATTTTATCAAGGTTAGGATCATAGAGAGGCTCAATGAAGTTGCCTAACCAGTATGTTCCAAATCTACATCCCTCTGTTTTGTGGAATCCCTTTCCAGTATCTACCAATAGTTCTGCAAACATAAGATGACAGTCTTTGTTGTTCTTTAACCCTTTTGATATTTCCTAAATAAAAGTCTGTGGTGCTTGGACACAGGTTGGGGTAACAAGTCCACTGGCCTCATGGCCCTGGCAGCAGAGGTTTCCAGCCCTCTGAGGCTGGCCGGGCAGCATGAGTGAAGCAGGGCTACCCTCTGGTGGCCAGTGTGGGAAGTTCACCCAATTCGTGTGACCCTTGGACTTTTCTGGAAACTGCCTTCAAAAGAGAGACAAGAGACAACACAAGCTAGGGCTTCCATGTGAGGTGGAAGCTAGAATGGAAGGAGAGTGGCCTGTTTGTTATATAGCAATAATCTATAACAGTATTTCATTTCTTTAAGTCTTGACTTAAATACCACCTTCTAAGTAATGACTTCCCAGGCCACCCCATCAAAAATATTTCACTGCCCTCCAATCCGTGCTCCCTGTACTTCCCCCCCAGTTTCATTTTAACCCTCCCAATAGACTGTGTCATATACCATGTTTTACTCATGCACTTGTTCCCTGTCTAAGCTAATGTGAGCTCCAGGACAGACGGTACTGACTCTTCAGCCCAGCTGTGTCTCCAGCATCAAGGATAGCACATAAGGGACTGGAGAGATGGCTCAGCTGTTTAGAGCACTGGCTGCTCTTGCAGAGGACCCAGGTCCAATTCCCAGCACCCATATGGTGGCTAACAACCATCTGTAACCCTAGTTCCAGGGGATCTGATGCCCTCTTCTGACTTCTGAGAGCACTGAGCAGCGTGCGTGCACCTACCTACATGCAGGCAATACACCCATACACACAAAATAAATAAAAATAAAGGATAGGGCATAAGAGCCCTCTTGACTTATCTAGATGAGCTACAATATATTTAGAATAAGTGCCAGTTAAGAGCAAGGCATTGCAGAGTGCTGCCTAAATATGAGAATAAGTGAGGGGCCATGTCATCCTTCTGTCTGTGGAAGTCACGGAGAGAAAGCAGGGACTTGCTGTGACCCATACGTGCGTTCCTTTCATGTCTCCCACCCACCACTTCAGGTTTTGTTAACTCTGGATGATGACCTGGATGTGGTTCGCAGAGACCAGATCCCTGTCTTCTGAGCCTCCAGCATCACGAGGGGAGAGGGAGCGACCCATCTTGGTGCTGTTTCATGGGAAATATGGTGACTGCAGCACACCCACTGCCAGATGCTCCACTTGTGTCTTCAGAGTCAACGGTGTTTGCGTTCACACAGGAAGGAGAGGGCTTGGGGGTGAGTCAAACCTCAGGAAGGGTGGCAGAAGGGAAGCCCTGCTGTGCACAGAGGCCAACCCTGAGGTTCTGTTCGCAACTTAGAGTTCCATTGGGACAAAAGCTGCATCAGGTCAGCTCGCCACCTTGGTCCTTCCCAACCTCGCCTGAGATTGGTCAGGGAAAGCAGCTACTTATACTTACTACCTAGAACCTTTGGTGTGGCCATCTCCACACCCCTGAGACATCCGCTGCTCTAGAAGTCCAAAGCCCCATCTTATTTGTACAAGGTCCCAAAAGGACATGATTCCTCAGTATGTGGTACAGAAGTGGGCCCAAGTCCACCCAGCTGGGACAGATGTTTTCCTAGCACCAGCTAAGTGACCTCCTCATAAGGAGCACTGACACCCCCATCCCCCAATTCCTGGCGCTATTGAGCTATTGGAAAGCTCAGGATGGGACTTTGCCACCGGCTGTTCTGAACACAGCACCACCACTGGGCCCAAGGCCTGGGTGCTCACCTATTTTTTAGTGTCTTCATCTCACCGTTGGATGTTGACCCCGTCCCTCTGATACTGCCTTCATAGAAGGGCCCTGTTCCTTCACAGACTTTCAGCTCCAAGATGGAAGAGGAAATGGAGAAAACTCTCCTAGAGCAGGGTAGTCTAAGAAACTGAGCATAAGGTAGGCAGCCCTAGCCATAAGAACTGGGGCCCCAACAAAGTGACAGTTTTTATCCAGTCTTAGACACACAGCTCAATCTGCGACTGCCTCCGCCTCTAAGACGAAATATGTGTTACCCATAGCACTTTCCTGGGATCCTCCACAACTGATCCTCTCATCTGTCATTTAGGTAGATCAGGGTCCCAGACTTTCTGCCTAAAGTTCTCAGCAGCAACTCAGGATGGACACGTGTTCCTCTGTCTTTCTGTCTACAAAGAGCATAGCTAATTCAGTTGCCTCTTGCACCTGACTCTCATTCTCTCCCCTAGTAAGGTGTGGAAAAGTTCAGCATCCCAGTTCCCTTCTCTCACACCATCTGGAAGGCCAATTTGGACCAGGCTTCCTGGTTATGTGGAATATGACACCATCAGAAAGTAGACTGTACAAATCTGCACACATGTATCTATTTGCTTGTGAAAGTAAAGTCAATCCTCACCTGCACTTTCCTGATCATTAAGGAAATGGATCAGAAATTCCTCTTCTAAAAATTATTCTTTCTCTCAAATATTTGTGTACTCTTCAAACACATGCTTTAGAAGTTGGAACAGTAAGCTTTTCCTGATTTTACAAATGCAAAGATACTTTCCATGAAATATTTTGTGTGGCTTTTTTTCTTTCTTTAAAAACTGCTCTCAAGTTTGTGATTTGTTTTCTGTTATTCTTTAGTCCTTAAAAATTGTTGGTTTCGGTCAACAATCAATAAGTGGAACCTCATTAAACTATAAACCTTCTGTACAGCAAAATAAGCAAACAAAAAAGTGAAGAGAAAACCCACAAAGTGAGAAAAACTCTTCACCGACACATCTGACAGAGGTTTAACATCCAGAATATATAAATAATTCAAAAAAAACAAAAAATCGAGAAACCAAATGACCCAATTAAAATATGGGCTAAAGATCTAAACAGAGAGTTCTCAAAGGAAGAAATAAAGATGGCTAAGAAACATCTCAAAAAGCGTTCAACATCATTAGTATTTAGGGAACTGCAAATTAAAACCACGGTAAGGTATCACCTTACCCCAATCAGACTGGCTAGGATCAAGAGAACAAATGATACCACATGCTGGCAAGGATGTGGAAAAAGGGGAATGCACATTCACTCCTGGTGTGATTGCAAACTCGTGCAGCCTCTATGGAAAACAGTGTGGAGAAGTCTTAACAAACTAAAAATGAACTTACCATATGACCCGGTTATACCACTCCTTGGCATATACCCAAAGGACTCATCCTATTGTAGAGACACTTGTACAGCCATGTTCGTTGCTGCTCTTTTCACAATAGCTAAAAGATGGAACAACCTGTGTCCCTCAACGGAAGAGTAGTTAACAAAAATGTGGCATATTTACACAACAGAGTTGTGTTGTATCTAGAAACTGTTATACTAAGTGAAGTAACACAGACTCAGAAAAACAAACGATGTATGTTCTCCCTCATATGTGGCTCCTAGCACCAAATCCTTTTAAATTACAGGTCCTTTTAATAAGATGATGCTATACAGCAGTCCCTTCTGCATGAAATAACTACCATCATCACGACTTCCGCTGAAGTTGTCATCACTAAACATAGTCACAATTGGGCTTGTTGACAGTTGTGTTCATTCATTAAAGGAGTGCCAAGCAGGGTCCCTTGACCCTCACCTGAGTATCCAGCTACACTTCCTAGTCAACTAGTCCAGCCTTGGAAGACAAAAGAAAAATGAAGAAGAACCCAATAGAGGGATGCTTTTGGAAGCCCTTGTCAAGAAACTCCAATGGACTCTCATGTGAACATTTGAATATTGCCATTCTTTTTTCTATTTCCTTGTCCAGAACTTGTAATGTTAATTACTCTTGCCTTTACTTCTCATTCACATCTCCTATTTATTCATGATTCAAGGACTTTCTTTTCCCCTTAGAGACAGGAGTTATGCAATTTGGGAGTCTTTTAGATAGACCCACTGAAGGGGTACTCCAGTTGCCTCACCCTGAGTCCCTGTTCAGTACGGAAGAAGCCAGAACGGTCTGTGTCCCTATTCCCAACTGGCAATTTGGGTAAGCCCTTCAGAGGATAGCTTGATAAAAATAGGAGGTAGGAATTGGCTAGGCCGGTAGGGTAAAAGGAC